GCTGGTTAAGTATCTAATTTCCCTCTCTAAGAGGTTAGGAAATTCATATGGTCAACCTTACTCTAGGCTAGATGGTTTACACCGTCTTCATGCACTTATCACTCTTTTGTAGTGCTTGCAATGTCGTTTTATTACCCTCCTTCCACCTATCAGTGGTGTCGTCAGGAAGAGCTTCTCAAGGTTCTCAGTCGCTCCTTTGACCTGTTTGAACAAAAGCTCATGCATATTTGTTAGTCAATGGACACAGCTACGCATTTCTTTCATCAGTGAATCAAGTGACAGACCCTTATGGAGTCCTCTCAAATGCGGCACTGGCATAGGTTGCCCTGTTAGTGCAAGTGGCAAGACACCCAGGGCATCTTAGTTTCCTTGCAGATTTTCCTTCAAGATCTCATCGACTCTTTCCACTAGGCCTTGTGATTGGGGATGATACACACTTCCCAGCCTATGTTTCTTGATTCTTAGTGATTGACATACCCTTCCTTTTCCAACATTGTCAAAATGTGTTCCTTTATCAGAGCTAATTTTCCAATTTTATGAATTTTTGCTACCGTTATGGCATCAGCCTTTGTTGCTGAATCTGTCAACTTTTGTTTACTTTGTTTGAAAGGGCCATCTGGTTTTCTGATATGTTCTATGCAGATTTCACATGATTCTATCAGGGGTTTTTTAACTGTAGCGACCATGTATGGAGACCACCAAGTGTTTTGTAACACTTTCAATACTTCCCCCCTTGCGACATGGTAAACACAACAGAAAGATGCAGATGCCACCAACAACCCTGTGGCAGAAAAAACGTCCAGTGGAGCAGTCTTTAACAACTCCCCTGTCAAACCAAAGTTGTTTTTCTTCTGCAGAGGCAGTCTATTGGCTATATAGCCACAGCACGCAATGAAATGGTAGGATCACTGTCGTCATTGTCAAAATCAGGCGTGGTTTCATGAACATCACCCCACTGGTACATTAATGTGGGCAGGTGATCGAGGTCTGAGGATGCTGCTGCTTGTTTAGCAGCTTCATCAGCAGCATTATTACCTCTGGTAACAAAATTGGTGGCCAACCTATGAGCTGCACATTTTACTACTGCTAATAAAGCCGGCAATGGCATTGCGTGTAAGAGATCAGCAATGAGAGGCCCATGTGACACTGGTTTGCCATCTGCCCTCATGAAGCCTCTCTGCCTCCATATGGCGCCATTGAGTTGACTTACGCCATGTGCATATGCCGAGTCTGTGTAAATGTTACCGGATTTGCCTTGACCTAACCGTTACGCTACAGCTAAAGCCCTAAGTTATGCTGCTTGTGCTAAAAGGGGAGCATACAGTGGCTGCGACAGCAATGTTTCCAATTCTAACATGCCAAGATTTAGTGCCAGTGCAGGCGTAGTGTCCTTTGTGTTGTGAGGTGCAAAGTGAGGGTGGTAACCTCAGAGTGGTGCATGGACATGTTGTTTTTTACAGGAAAATATAGAGATATTGCTGCACATCACAATAGTTTCTAACAGGCATCATATTGTACTTCTAAGGTCTGTGATTTCTTCAAATGTCAGTGGGTATTGTTTCTCTCATGGTAAAATTATGTTAGGTTTGAGTCGGATGAATACTAAGCCTGCTGACTGAGCCCTACATCTGTGGCATGCTTTGTTCATAGGTGTCTGGCAGGCTGTTGGGTACAGGATGATCTGGAACTAGTGTGGTCGGATTGCTTTCGTTGTCATTGTCATTGTCATCAAGTGCCGGGGCCACAGACAGAGTGTGCATACATTGCGATACAATACATACAATACATTAAGATACATACATGGGCATAAAATATTATACTGTAAGCCTGTAAAACTAAACATGGAATAACACAACATAATATAGTTTGCTTCATGTTTACCTTATCCCTAAATGCATTTTCCCACTACAATTTGAATTACTGTGTTGACTTTGTTGAGATTAATAAGAAGATCTAACTGACTTTCAGACAGTAAGTGCTGCATTAACTGCACACACTCTTTGCTAACGGGTGAATTATATTTTACAATATCATTTTATCCTCTATCACTAAGTGTGTGCAATTAATTCTAGTGTTGGACCCCATGGCCCTAATGTAGTCTGCTGTGAACTTCCAACCAGAAAGATCTTCAGTTGGAGAACAAATCCTTTCCACTCTTCAGGGTGAAAATAGAAAAGAAATAATTTCACTGACTAATGACTGTGATCATTAATTTGTGTAATTAACAGATGTTGCTGTTAATGTAGCCTGCTCTAATGAATTGTTGCTGATAACCAAGTATCCTCTAGTCCTTCTGTTCGTGTGTGATATTTGGTTTAGATAGATTTTAGGTTTATATTCTCTCTAAACACAGAGTAACAGGTTTTTAGTCCAGCTGTAAACTTGATCCATTGAGTCACCTGAGTTACCTCAGTAGACCAAATAAACCTGGATGGTTAGATAGAGCTCTTTGAACTACATGAGTGCAAATGTCTAACACTGATTAGTCGATTGATTGAATAGTTGTCAACTATTATTATTAAGTATTTTTGATAATCTATTCAAATCTCACCTTTTTGAGACATTTTTTGAAGGAAAAATGCCCACATTCTTTTAATTCAGCTTCTCAGATGTGAATATTTTTTTAATATTTTTCCTCTATGACAGTAAACTCAATATCTTTGGATTGCGGACAAAACAAGACATTTGAGGCTGTCCCTTTGGGCTTTGGAAAACAGTGATCAACTTTCACTTTGACCATTTTCTGACATTTTCTGGATCAAACAACTAATTAAGTAATTGAGAAAATTATCAATAGATTAATTGTTAATGAAAATAATTGTCCCACAGGCCTTGCATGTATACATGTATATATAGTATACATAAATATGTTTTTGTGTGAAGCACTATGAATCTCGCTCTGGAGTGAAACAAGTTACATGAATGAAGTTTGCTTTGCAACAAAAGCTGAGCCAGGTAAAAAACATGGTTTATGTCCAATGCCAAGATTTAGTGCCAGTGCAGGTGTAGTGTCCTTTGTGTTGTGAGGTGCAAAGTGAGGGTGGTAACCTCAGAGTGGTGCATGGACATGTAGCACATCTGGCTCCCCTGCAGGAGACCAGTACTTATATGTCTGGTCACAAACCTGCAGTTTATCAGTTCCTCACTGTGAGCCTGACCACAGTGAATCTTTACTTTCACTCACTCATTGCTACTTGTTAACAGAGCTTGTTCACATTCATTCACACAGCAGAAATTCTGTGTCACTGTGTTTGTGTCTCTGCACTAACAGGGAGGGGGAGGGATTCCTTGTGTTATCCCGTCTTGGTCTAACAATAAGCATTCCAAACGAGACTTTGTGTGCTCAGGAGGGATTGTTCTGCATGTCAGGCTGGCTCATATCAATACAATATCACTGGCTGAAGGAGAAATATGATGCAATTAGTCACAAACACTGGGCAATGCAGCCCACCCTGAGCAACAAGATCGTCCTAACAGGCAGAAAATAAGATTGAAATGGTGTTAACAAGAGCTGGCAAATCTAGTTCAGCATTGCATTTGTTTGTAATTACTCTTATTATTTATACTTTATTGATAGTCGTTTTTTCAGACCTTCTTGGTTAGACTTTCCTCCGTCCTTTTTTCTTTTACAAGAGGAGAGATGTGAGGAATGGGTGACAAAAAAGAAACTTACTGTTGTCCTGGAGAGCTGGGGATAAAAGACCATGTGTCTATTAATAATTGTGTCGGTGCTTAATGCTACAAAAAGAGACCTGCATAAATATCAAGAGTCATGGCCGCCTTCATTCACTACTTATCCATCCCTGAAAAATGAACACAGCACTGCTTTACATTAGGGATTACCAGACTACAGGGTTAGGGTTTACTTATACTTACTTACTTAATATTTGTATACATATTGTAGTTCTATTTTCATTAGCACATATATTGTTTTATTATCTTACATCAAAACCAATCATATCAGCCTTTTCATACAGCACCTGCGCACCTGCCATGCAAAATTACATAGCAAACTCCTACACACAATATATATTAGACATATTACTGACCTCAGTCAGGGGAATAAAATAAACTAGAGAAAGAGAAAATAGTGCACACCCACTGGCCAATCAGACACCACAAAAATATTAAATTAGCAGTTATCTTATTGGTATGAGCCACAAGAAGCAGGTAATTATTGGTTATTGTATTGGCTGAAAAATCTATATGTGAATCTCCAATATTGGGGGTAAAGATAGTACCGTAACAATAAGAAATATGTTCTAAAGGTAACCGGACCTATTCATTGCAGACATTTTTTTAACTATATCTTAACACAATAATTACACACCTATATGTACATTTAAAGGATTATTGGTAGCTGGATGGTTCATCCTGTCTATACTGACTGCAAAGTGTCATATCCTAAAGCTATTTCAATGTAAGTGCTGGGGGACAAAGACCAGAGTCCTCACTCTGAGGTGAATAAGAAGCTTCAGCAGTCTGTGTTAAAACAATGTTACAGGTGTGAAGTGCTCTGTCCAGTCTGACCTCAGTGAAGCTCCAAGAAACAGCTCTACCCTTCTTGTCCACCTGGGGGCGCCGCATCACCTCCTTCCCTCCCTGAAACAACACCAAGGAGGGAAGCTGTTTGGACAGCGGAGACGCAGACACCTTGTACCTACAGAACAGAATTCAAGCCATGAGATGACATATTCACACATCCTCTCTGACAAAATAAAAGCCCATCAAAAAAGACAATCCTATCAAAAACCAAAGGAAAATAAAGGCTTACTTCTTGGAAACCTCTCCATAACGTCCGATGTCCACTTTGCCAAACTTGAGGCCAGAACAGTTGTACCTGAAACACAAAACGAAGAAATAGCTTAAGTTCTCTCATTCGTGTCACTGGGTGCACTGTACACTGTGACTGCGTGGCTGGATGGACTCTTACTTGAGAGAGAGATCAGCATAGACCGAAGCAAAGGACTGGCACTCCGGAGACCAGTTGGCGAAGAATTCAACGATCCATGTCACACGACTGTCTCTTTCCAGCTCATCCTGGACAGACAGACAGACAGACAGACAGACACTTTAGATTTATGATTAAAGAAACAAGATTTTTGCTCTTGGTCATGGACACACTACCACTTGTACTCACATCAATGGTTTTGTCACTGAAGTATTTGATGTACTCTGGTCCCATGTAAAGAGGAGGCTTGCAGGTCATCAAGAACACTGAAACACACAAAGAACCGACAGAAGAGGATGACGCCAGGACTTTGTCTATGGTATTAGTGCTGAAATGATTTTAGGGCTGTACCCAACTGAGAAATTCTGTCGAATCAGATTAGGCTGTTCAGTACAAAGCTTTGACTATTGCTCCTTGTTTTTTCAGTTCAGCGCCATATTAAACTCCTTTTCCTTCAGTTTCCGCAGTGGCAACTCCGCTACATGACTCATGTTTTAGCCTACCTCATATTTTCATCACCTGTGATGTAAAAAGCTCAAATTTCCATTTCCAATGTCCTGCCTGGCTGCTGACAGTGCTCAGTATAAAGAGTCAATCCCAATGGACAGCAGTGGAGGAGGTTGGACCACAGTCTGGCTGAGAAGCGTTCCCCGCTGTTTTTCTCACAGTTGTCGATAACGTAATGACTGTGACAGGCCTAAGTCTGTCAGTGGCTCTCCCAGCCCTTTGGTCGTTTTTAATCAGACGTCACTAAAACAGGAAGAAAGGGTGCATCTTCTGGGCAATTTCATTCTTGCTTGGTGCTCTAGTGCAGTGTTACTCAAATGGGGGTCTTCAGTCAGACAGAATATGGTTTTACCTCAATGAACTGCAACCCTCCCAAAGCATTGTGCTTTTACAGCTACAAGGTTTAATAATCTGACACTGATGGCACAGCATTGCATTGCACCTCTTTATATAGGCTTTTGTTTTCTACAGTGTGGCTTACTGATGTGTTTTTAAGCTCGATGGCACAGAGGAAGAAGATACACATACAGTGATTGTTACTAGATACATTCAGTGCTGGTTTGGATATTTGAACTGGGATTGTTGACAATAACAAAATAATGTAACGTCACCAGACTTTAAGCCTCGTCTGACAAGCTGGACTCTGCTGTCTTAATAAGAGTCAGCTGATGGTAGATGGACCTGTACTTGTATAGCGCCTTTCTAGTCTTCCGACCACTCAAAGCTCTTTTACACTACGTGCCACATTGAGGACA